ATCCCAAATTTGGGWAAAGGAGAAGTACATCTGCTTCCTGAACAGCGGAAGCTCTAGTGTGTGTCTGCTGAAGCACCTCAGGGTCAAGCATGGTTTTGTTTAAAGAAAGCAACTAAAATAAACCCAGGGAGGGGCTCCCAGGAGGTCACTGTGCTCCTTCTCTCCCTGACCCAGCACGGGTCCCCTCTTCCCGGAGGGCTTTTGGCAAGTTTGCATTTTTTTTCTTGTGCTGTTGACAAAAATCCTGTCTGGTTGAGAAATATCTGTGCAGCAGCGCCAGCCCAGTCCCATGGGTCAAATCCTACCCCTACAAATCTGTGCTGGGAACCGGGGCTTGTTTGGGGCTGGCCTTTGGGGATGCTGCCGGGGGGACTCATGTCCTTGCAGGGCAACCCGGGCACAAGGCCAGAAGCAAACTCCTCAAACAAATGGATGGACAGATGGACACTATGGGCTTGGGGTGGATCTGATGTTCTATCATTTGCTGCTTGGGCTCTGCAGCAGAAGCGAAGTGCTGGAAGTTCGTCAAGGGCTGAATTAAAGTTGCCTGGCAACCTCCATCCCTGCTCCTCTTCCCACATCTCGCAGGATTTCCCACCCAAGATCTGCCGCCTCCAGGGAAGGGGGGCCCAAAACGCATTGCGCTCGCATCCAGGCCMGGGCTCGGCTTGTTTCCCGTCCCTGGATGGCTCCTTTCCCATAATTTATTGGTTCTTCCCACGTATGGGGGCCGGGAGCTCTCCCCACCTCACCCCCTGGGGCAGGTGCTTTTCCCYGCTGCCGTGCTGGGAATGGGTTGGGCTGTTTCAGCTGAACCTGAGGGCAACTTGAGCGGGTCTGCTGGAGGGTAGAACAGCTCAGTGGGAATGAGAGTGGCTGCTGGGGTCGTGCCAGCCTTGGCCCTAGTGAGTASAATCTTCTGCATGGGGTTTTGAGTGCCCAGGCTGGGCTACCATGAAAAAGCAAAGTGCAAATGGTATCTTCTGATGCAGTCTCTGATGGGGGTTTTGTTAAAGCTGTTTTGCAACTCCTTAACCCAGAGAAGATYCATTGGAAATCCCTGGCTCCCACTGGGAAACCAGCAATGCTTGCTTGTAGCAGTCTGTGATGCCAAGGGAAGCAGCTCATGAGAGAGGAGAAATGTCCAGCAGCCTTTCTGGGAGCCTGCTCCTTCTTTACTAGATCTTGGTGGAACAGCCACAAGCTGTTAGGGAGGGGTGGGTGGGGAAGTGTTTTCTCCCACTCTGCAAATCTGTCCTGCCATCCAGAATGGATACTGAGGGTAAGCTGGAGAAATGCTGCTCCCACCCACCACTTCCATTCTTTCTTCTGAGCTCCTCTGAAATTAAAAAGCTGGCATCATTTTTAGCCGTGCTGATATGGAAATACCCGTGGGGGGCCCATTAGACCCCATCTGTGGTCTCTCCATGTTTGCCAGCCCCACAGACAGCACAGCTTCCCTGCAGAGCAGCTTGCAAACGGCTTTTGCTCCCAGGTTCTGCTGCCTTGTGACTTTGAGGACCATGGGGCAGCGGGAAGGGGCCCCTACACCACGGAATGTCCTGCTGTGGTGGCTGTTGAGGTGTGTGCCAGCTCTGTCTGGTTTCTTTGGCCAGTTTCTCTGGCCGGATCCAGGCTRGTGAGACCTGCCACTGTGAAAATCACTCATCAAAAACTCTTTGCTCCTCCAGAGACGCTGGTCATGGGGATTTTAAGGAGGTGCCGACTGGGCCAGCCCGTTTGGGTGTGCTGTACGGGCTGGCTGCCGGTGGGAGGCTGAGGCCGGCACAGTCATGCTCACACAGCTTCCGTCGTGACCCAGTAAACCCAGTCAGACCTGACCTCGCTCCCCTGTGCACTCACCCACACCTGCACGCCTCTGCTGCCCCACTGCTTTCCTGGCTTTCCCCAGGGACCAGCAAACACATCCCACTGGCGAGAGGCAGTACCTGGGYCTGGCTCCATGCTGGGAGCTGCGGCCGAAGCCTGCAGAAGCACTGATAGCCAGTGGTACAAGGGTGGGCTTGTAGCTCTGTGGATGTTACACACTGTGAGCAGAGCAGCTGCTCCCCAGCTTTGCCCACCCCAGGGTGTCCATCAGCCCTGTGCTGGGTCCTGCCTCCACCATCCTGCTTCTTCAGTGTCGTTAGCAGGMGTGGGAGCTGGGGCTGGATTATCAGGTCCTAAGTCAGCCCCCCTGTGCTGGGAAGTAGGTGATGCGCCATGGGACTTGGGAGCTCGCTCCTGGGAATGGGATGGGCTTTTCTGGGAGTTTTTCTCCTAAAATCCTGGTTTCATTGATGCTTTTCAACCTCTTCCTCTCCCCTTTTTGTTTCCTTYCTTTAGAGAAAACTGTGATGTTTCCATTCCCAACTTTTTTCCATTTCTTATTGAAGTGCTGGACTCGTGTAATCCATCTGCCCCCAGCCCTAATGATGGGTTTCACAGATCCAGATCTACTCTGTTTCCTGTCTGAGCCCTCGGCTTCACCCTGAGCTTAAAACTTGCAGCCTGACAAGGGGGAAATGGTGGCTTCAGGGGGGTTTGGTGTGGCTACAGACTAGGGTATTGACCTGAGGGAGGCCAAGGATGGTTTCAGTTCCTTTTGCTTTTTCTCCCCCACCCTAAGTATGAAAAATAAAAACTAGAAAACAAAAAAATAGGGAAGCTTGGAACAGCCCTTCTCTTTTGAGTAAAATATTAACTAGCTCTTACGGCGTAACTGATTAAATGTTCTTTAGGACAAAGTTACATCTGATCTCAGGCAAAGGAGCCTTTGGAAAAGGGTGTAGCTGCTTCCCTGGAAAAAGCAGAAGAGCCCAGCCCTGGCAGCACGGGAGGCTGCTCCCCCCTGCCCAGCCAGGAACCCTGCACAATTCCGCAGTTTAATTTATTATTTTTGTTTTCCCCCGTGCTGGCTCGGTGCTCACAATAGTTAAATGTTAGCTGGGGTGGCCCTGTGATAAGCACCATCCCTGCCACCCTGCCTGGCTGCACTCTCGGCTCCAGTCCCCAGCACATCAGGAGCCAAGCAGCAGGCAAAGTTCAGGGCTTGTTTGTCATGGGGAGATAAGGTGAGGACGCCCAGCAGCATGGAGGGCKGTTACTCATTTATTAGAGATCGTTGTTTGCTTGTGGTAAGGAAGTTTCTCCTCTGCWCTGCTTTCACATCCCAAGTGCAGCAGCTCTTGTGGCTTACGTGTGATTCCAGATTCATGTCCCCATATGGAGGCTTGGAAAAGGGTCCCTGCAGCTGCTAAAATGACCCTGCTCCTGCTGGCCGGATGGAAAGCTGTCAGTGTAGAGCTGGCTCGGGTGCTTTGGTGCTCCAGGTGTGACCCCACTGCTTGCTTTGCCCAAAACTTGGTGGGTTTGGCTCATGCTAGACTCATGATGCCACCAAAGCAACTTCTTTCCTGTTGACCTCCATCTGCACTCACCTGCCTTGCATGGCTRTGCCAGGCCCATCATTGATGGGCAGAACCTCAATCTGTACCGGGCTCGTCCTGGAAACAGGAGTGACATGGAGGGAGCCTGCTCTGGGATCTGCTCCACAAGGAGCTCAGCCCTGCACGCAGCACCCTGCCTGCACCCGGGGCTGGTGGATGCTCTTTGTGTGCTCTGTGCTGCTCTGGAGCCTGGGGGACAGTGAGGCAGCAGGGAGAAACACCTCCCATCTGCCCCATTCCCGGAATGCTCTGGGGCAGCAGCCAGTGCAGGTGTGAGGTGTGTGTCTAAAACCCCTTGGAGGAACCAGCACTTTCATGCAAGCTCCAGAACCATGGCTGAATCCACATCCRGCCCCTCACTTCTCCTTTTTATCCCCAAAGCCTTTTTCACTTTGGTTTTACCTGCCCTCTTCCTGGGACCCGACAAAGTATTTGCTTCAGGGAAATCATCTACAGTGAGCATGTTTGAGCAGCTTCTCTACAGGGTCAGGCATTTGKTTTTTATAAATACATATATATATTTATAAGGAAATATATAGGTGCTGGTTTCTTATGGGGAGCTCTCTGGCTCAGAGATACCATCATCTTTTTCCTCCTTAATGCTTGTAGGATAAACTGGTGACTTTGCTCAGTGCAGCTGGGACAGCTGGGGGGTTATTTGTGAGGGATTGAATGCATGAAAGTGAGAGCCAAAGTGAATGCTGAGCTTTGAGGCAGCTTGGGATGAAAGTGAAACTGAAATCTTGTGGAAAAACACAGGGGAAAATTATTTCTGCTTGAAAAGACTTGATGAAGATGACAAGCAGTTCCTGTATGGATTTTCCTTCACCTTGTGTTGCTGCATGCCTGAAGCATCCTTCCAAATGCCTCAGTGCTCAGGAGTCTCATTTCATGAGGGGCAAAAGTGTGACAAGTATCTTGCATGGCAAGACATGGTCAGCTGGTCTTTTGGGAAGGAGAGGAGACCTTGGGCCTCCCAAGACCCCCACTGCTGCCATTCCTGCTGCAGCCACTCTGGGGAGCGGGGTACCCCAGTGTGCCAAGAGACCCAACAGAAGGGCTGACCCCATGCCTCCTTCCCTGCTTTTGAGGGACAATGTGCCTGCTTTTTGAGTGTGAAATGCAATGGGGGATCAGCTGGCTCTGCTGAAACATATCCTACAGTCAGGGTGATCTACAGGAGTAAARGGCTGGGAGTGAAGGAGGAATGAGCCCAGAGAAGACCTGGAGGAAAATGCACCTCCAAGCAGCTGACCCGAGTGCTCAGCAAGYGACTACGCCACTGTGACAGAATGGCTGCTGACCCAGGGGGATGCTGCTCTGCTCAAACTCCCCTCCGTGCCCTGTGATGGCCGCAGGCTCGATGCCTTGTGCCATGCCTTCGTTTCCCCTTTAGCAAATGAGAGTTTGTTTTTCCCCGAAGCCATCCCTGGTCTGAGGCCGTGCTGGGTCAAGCATCCATGCGTGCGTACAGCTGGCTCCTTCCCAAGCCTGCTTGCTTGTGCGGTGCTGGGACAGCGGGAGAGTCTGACCCAGTGCTCTGTGTTTCAGGAGGSTTTGGTGGCCAGGCCTGTCCCGGAGAGCTGGAGAGCCCGTGCCAAGGATTGGCTGTGCCGGCCCGGCGGCAGCRGCTGAGGCGGCTGCCCTTGCCGAGAGAGCAGGAAGATGAGCGCAAGTCCAGCACATCTCCTGACCACTCTCTTCATGGCAGCGGCAGCCGTGGGCTACCCATCACGGCGCTCTGCCACCGACCTGGATGCCACCCCCAGGACAACAGTCACCTTTGATGGTAAGGGGGCATGGGTCCTGGTGGTGGCAGTGAGGTGTGGGGTTTTGCTGGCACTGGCCTTGGTGCATTGTGACTGCATCTGGTCTTTGCCACCCCCTGGAGCAGGGGGCTCAGCATGGGAGGGTGGCTACATGGGAACCTCTGATTCCGTGGGCTCCAGAAATCAGAGCCCACATGGCTGTCTGGTACCAGGCACCACAAGGAAGGGAGCACAGCAAAGTCATGTCTCCAAAAACCTTGGGGGCGAGGATGTGCAGGGAGCCAGCCCTGATCAACCCCTGGCTCTGCCTGGCAGCCCTTGAAGACCGTCCTGAGCTGGGTATCACACCTGGGCTGGGATTTTATGGCCCAAATAGTCAGCAGGGAGCTTTCTTCCATGATTTTCTCTAATTGCCACTGGGCTCTTGGCCTCCAGCCTCTGTGGTGTCAGTGAGCACAGCAGTGTCATCGTCCCTTGGGTATCCACATGACTTCATTGACCTCATTAGTGAGGCTCAACTCAGCAATCGATGGTGGAAGAGTTTCATTAGCAGCTGGGGTGCCCCTTTCTCTCTGCACAATGCCTCTTTTCTGGGGAGGGGGGGCAATCATTCATTTTCCAGCTGCCTCCAAAGTCCCATGCCTCATAGAATTTTTGCTTCCTGCTGGTCCCTCTGGCCAGGGCTGAGTCCTACCTTGAACTTCTCAGCACCCCAAATTGGATGGTTTTRTCAGCTTGGTGGGCAGGAGCACTCAGCCTCGCTGCAGAATTGCTCCCTTTGCATGCTAGTTTTGGTTCAGGTTTTTTTATCCTTCCCTTTGGGCTGGCTGGGCTCAGTGCAGAGCCAGGGTCACTGCCTGCATGTTTCTCCTTTCTTCAGCAGTTCCCTAAACACCGAGGCAGGCCCATTGCCAGCATGGTCATTGCAGTTCCCACCCCAGAGCTGTGCTTTAATTAGCAGAGAGAAATCTCCTCTGTGAGCCTGAGCCCAATTAGTGCCTTTTTCCTTCTACCGAACCTCCTCCCTTCCTTTCCTCCTGCTGTAACTGCTGGCACCCGGCACTGTCTGCCTGATAACCTCAGTGAGTGYCATCCCAGCACTTCCAGCTCCGTTCTCTTGTCTTTCCCCAGTGGCTCACACTGTGCCTGCCCCGGGGTCCCTCTCAGCCCCCTGTTCCYTTTGCAGAGCTGTCAGCAGTCCGGYGTTTCAGCGCGCACACCCTCAACTACAGCACCCTGCTGCTGGAGGACGACCGGGGCATCCTCTACGTGGGCGCCAGGGGAGCCATCTTCGCCCTCAACTCCAGTGACGTGGCTGACGGCTCCCACCGCACGGTGAGCCCGGCCTCTGCCTGCCACCAGCTGGTTGTCCTCTCCTGTCCCATGCTGCCCAATGCCCACCCTAACTGTGGCCACTCTGTCCCTGCTCAACTTCCCGCTCGCCATCTCAGGTCTTGCCTGGAGGTGATGTCTCCAGGTCTGTCACCAGGTCCTCTGTGGACACCTTTCTCCCCAGCCAGACAGCATGGGGATAGTGATGGGAGACATCCCCAAAGCTCTGAGCTGCCTGCTTCAGGGACACCCCAGCTGAACGAGGGGTGGGGGAGAATCGCACTTCTTGGCTCCCACAGGGAAGGACACCCCAAAATCCTCCAGGGCCTTGCAGTGATCTGGGATGTCTGCCCACAGGTTGGGGTGTGGGACCACTCTCACCACAGGCTGATAGGATGTGTGCAGGGTGCCATTCTGTGCTCTGAGCAACTACCCTCCCTAAATAAGGATTTTGTTACATCTGATGGCTCTGACAAAAGCTGGAGCTTGCAGTGACAGGGGCACCATGCAGTGATGGGGTCATGCAGTAGCAGTCTCTCTTTCCCTTGCAGATCCACTGGGAAGCCTCTCCAGAGAAGCAGATGGATTGCCTGCAGAAGGGCAAAGACAACAAGGTAGAGCTGCTGGGTGGGTACCGGGGAGGGGCTGCCCCCACRTTTCCCAGTTTGTAACGCCTGTGCTCCCCCAACGCAGACCGAGTGCTTCAACCACGTGCGGTTCCTGCAGCGGCTCAACAGCACCCACCTCTACGCCTGCGGGACCTACGCCTTCCACCCGCTCTGTGCCGCCATCGTGAGTACGGCTCACCCCCAGCTGCCACCTGTCCCCTGCCACCAWGTCACCCGGGCGAGGTGCAGCCCCTGTCCACTCCCACCATCTCACCCACAGCCCCACTCCCTTTCTGCCCCTGTCCCTGCCCCTCCCAGGCTTGCAGCGAGGGTGACTAACCCCCAGGCTGGGGTGAGTAGGTTTGAGGACGTGGCCACCACGATGCAGGTGCCAGAAGTCCCCACCCCAGTGCTGGGGCTGGACTCTGACCCCATAGCAAGAGGGCTGGGCGTGGATCAGTGCCGTGGGGGACACACGTGGGCTCAGCAGCATGGGATGCACCAGCCCTGGAGCTGGTCTCCAGKGCCTGCTGTTGCAGGGTCCCCTCCCAGAGCAGGGGCTGCAGAATGGCTGATGGCAGGTGGTATGCATGCCCAGGGAAGGGTGAYAGGGGCAGGACTGACTCAGCAGCCCCTCCCCAAAGATTTCCTGTRCCAGTCTGGTAGTTCCCACATGGCTGTGACTCATGGCAATGTCCAAGAGCAGCCTTTAACTGGCAATGGGACTTTGACCCCCTTTGAGTCCTTGGAGACTTGAGTCAATGGAGCTCCTTGAGTCAATGGAGACTTGATTGCCCTTCGCCCACCTCCCACCCTGAGCTGGGGAGCAAAGGGGCCCCGGATCATGTCTGCAGTGTGGCTGGGGTGCCCTGGAGAGGCTGTGCCTGTTCCCATGGCTGTGCTGCTGGTCCGGTTTGGCCATCACACACGCTGGAAATTGGGCGGAGGAGCTGCCAAGCTGGAAGGGCTCCATCATTATTGTACGTGCTTTGAACTGCAAACCCCAAAGAAAGTAACTCCTGCCATGACACGGACAGCACCTGGGGGGGACCCAGGCTGGCTGAGCAGTGTCTGCCAGCCATGCACTGTCTGGGAATATTGGCTGCACTGACCTGCTGCCTCCAGTGCCAGAGTGGGATACTGGGGCTCCCCTTCCTCCYGGAGCCCTCTACCTGCTCTTGGCTGGGGGCTGTGGCTGGCTCTGTGGTTTTGAGCAGCTGGAGGGTGCTGGGGGTGTTTGTCTTGCCTGGGCAAGGGCACAGCTGTGGGCATCACTATGTCCCTGCTAGCAGGCTCTGCAGAGAGCCTGASGCTGGCAGGTGAGGTGGGTCTGTGCCCCCCTGTCTGACCTGATTCCCTGTCCCCTTCAAGGATGCCAACAGGTTCACGCTGCCATCCCACTTTGAGGAAGGCAAGGAGAAGTGCCCATATGACCCTGCCCGTGGCTACACCGGCCTCATTGTGGGTAAGCACCTTTCCAGGGCTCATGGGGACATGCAGGATGCCACCAACCATGGCCCCATCCCCAACACCCCCAYGGTGGGTGCCAGCCAGGCGGACTCTACATGCAGAGGCCTTAGCAAACCATGACTTGGTCCTCCCCGTGCTGGGGCATGGGATGCTGGTGGCCTGTGGAGCTGTCCCCAGGCTGCAGGGCCATGCTGATGGGCATCTGCCCTGTACAGACGGAGGCTTGTACACGGCAACACGCTACGAGTTTCGGAGCCTCCCTGACATTCGGAGAAATCTGCACCAGCGGCCTCTGAAGACGGAGGAGTCCCCGYTGCACTGGCTGAATGGTGAGATGTCCCTGGCTTGCCCATCCTGCAGCTGGCATCATGGGCTATGGGACACTCTGCATTGCCTCAGAGAGTGTGGAGATGCTGTGGGGGGTGGCTCTGGAGTCCTGTGTGGTTTGCTATGAGAAAGAACTGAGCCAGGGAGAGATTTCACATTCTGTGGTTGGTCTCCAATCACCAATCACCACCTTCTGCTCCATGTTCCCAGATGCTGAGTTTGTGACATCTGTGCTGGTCCGGGAGAGCAAGGACAGCCCCGTGGGCGATGATGACAAAATCTACTACTTCTTCATGGAGCGGGCAGGAGAGGAGACCACATCCTTCTTTGACAAGAGTCAGGTGGCCCGAGTGGCCCGGGTGGCCCGTGTCTGTAAGGTAGGCCTGTTCCCAGCCACAGGGAGCTAAGCACTGCTCCTCTCAGTGCAGAGGCAGTATGCCTCCACCTGTGGGAAAACTGAGGCACAGGCAGAGGGGGATGGACACCACCCGCCCAGCCTGTGCAGACACGCTCCCTGCACCTTCCCAGAGCGACATCGGGGGGAAGAAGATYCTGCAGCGCAAGTGGACATCCTTCATGAAGGCACGCCTGGTCTGCTACATCGCCTACTACGAGGTGCTGCRCAGTGTCTGCAGCCTGGACGGGGGCAGCTGGGCCAGCACTGTCTTCTATGCTGCTTTCACACTCTCGGCACAGTGGTGAGTGGGACAGTGGCCAAAACAATTGGAGCTGAAGGTCTGCAGTGCTGGGGGAGCCAGAGATGCTCGAAGGGATGCACAGGCAGGTGCTGAGCACCTGGGGGTGCATTGGTTGGGAGCACCTGTGTATCTGCCCAGGCTTAGGTGAGGTTGTGCCCCTCAGGAGGACTATGGAGGCCTCGGCTGTGTGCCGCTACAGCATCTCAGACGTACAGCGTGCCTTCGAGGGCCCCTACATGGAGTACCAGGACTGGGCTCGCAAGTGGTCCCGCTATGACGGTGTGGTGCCCGAGCCCCGGCCTGGCTCTGTGAGTGYCTGGGGGTGCAGACTGGGGGAGCARGGGGCAGCCGCATTCYCCTCTGACCCCTGTTTCYCCTGGGCAGTGCATCACGGACCACTTCCGCAGGAAGGGCTACAACTCCTCGCAGGACCTGCCCAACAATGTCCTGGACTTTGTCAAGTTGCACCCACTCATGTTTGAGGAGGTGAAGCCAGCCGGTGGTGAGCCACTCCTGGTGAAGAAGAACGTGGTGTACAGCCAGCTGGCTGTAGACAGGGTGCAGGCCCTGGATGGCCACTCCTACGATGTGCTCTTCATGGGCACGGGTGAGTGTGGGATGAGTTTGATAGRCTTCTGCTGGGCAAAGGGCACACCTCACGTTTCCTCCTGAACTCCCCGCTCTGCTCTCCAGGGGATGGCTGGATCCACAAGGCTGTGGTGATGAACTCTGGCATCCACATTGTGGAGGAAGTGCAGGTGTTCAGGGACCAGCAGCCYGTGGAAAGCCTGGTGATCTCCCATGTCCAGGTGAGGGGTTGAACAAGTAAGGGCACTTGCAGGGACATGCTTGTGCTGGGAAGCTGCTAATGYGCTGTTAGAGGAACTGGGGGGACACGACTCTTGGGTTACCCCAGCTCGGGATATGTGCTGGAGCCCAGCAAGGTAGCCTGGGGAAAGGAACAGGCCTGGCCCTCCACCTCCTGCACCCATCAGCACTGATTGGGATCTGGGAGTCCTTCTCGTGCACACTTATGAAGCAGAGCTGTGCTATGGGGCTGGGGGGAATCTCTGGGCACCATGGGGCACCCCACAGCCCAGCAGCACCATACCAGATTAATACTGAGCCAGCCCTTTCCCCCCTCAGAGGAGCCTGTATGTGGGGGCAGCCAGCGGGATTGTGCAGGTGCCCCTAGCCTCCTGYGCCAGGTATGCCTCCTGCTACGACTGCATCCTCGCCCGGGAYCCCTACTGTGCCTGGGATGGCCGGGCCTGCCGTGCCATCGCCACCACAGACAGGTAGGGATGGGTTACCTGTCCCCAGCTGGGTCCCATGAACCTTCCACTTGCCCCATCCCATGCTGTTTTGTGTCACCCTGTGGCACAGTCACCTCAGAGCTGACCCCAAAGGTCTGGTATCTGACAGCGGGTGTCCCGGTGGCTGTGGCCCCGTAAGAGTGGGCTCAGCTGAGGTTGTATGACTGAAATCCCCTATGCCTTGCAGCACAGGGCTGGTGCAGGACATTCAAAGTGGCAACAAGGGATGCCGGAGCGGCTCTGGACGGGGTGAGTCTCTGCCACCCCTCGGGACCACGGGGATGCTGGTGTCCAGCGTCCCTTAGAACAGCTGGGAGAGGTGCAAGGCAGTGCGTGTCCCCACAGGCTCCCTGCTGTGGAAGAACCGGACGGTGCTGCAAGGGGACGATGTGCTGCTGCCCTGCGACCAGCGCTCCAACCTGGCCCGAGCCGTGTGGCTGCTGAACGGCAGCGAGGTGCTGGGCACGGGGCAGGACCACCTGCGCGTGGGGGTGGATGGGCTGCTGGTGACGGACACGCTGCCCCAGCACAGCGGCGARTACCGCTGCTACGGGGAGGAGCGGGGTCTCTGGACACTGCTGGCTACCTACATCCTCACCGTGCTGCCCGAGCTGCCCCGCAGYCCTACGGCTGCTCCATCGCCCCACGCTGCCAGCCAGACGACCAACGACATGAAGGTGGCTTACATCTCTGCCATCGTCACCTTGGTGGTGCTCTGCACCGTGCTCAGCAGCATCCTCCTGTACATGTCCTGCCTGGAGAAGCGCAAGGGCAAGTATGTGCTGAGGGACTCACGGCCGCCCAGTGTGGAGCTGCAGACAGTCTCAGCCAACTGCCTGCGCAAGGGCCACCGGGAGGAGGAGGAGGAAGAAGGGCTCACCTACCCCGATGGCTGCCTGCGGATCATCCCTGGCGAGGCACCCACGGCTGCCACCTCCCCAGYCAAGGAGCTGCCGGCTGCCGTCCCCCCGCTGCCGCCCCCGCTGCCGACCGAGCTCACCAACGGTGTGGGGGCTCTGCCCAATGTCCTGCGCAAGATGAATGGCAACAGCTACATGTTGCTGCAGCAGCAGGAGGAGCCRCTGGTCTCCCCGCTCTACAGCGCATCCTTCACCGAGGAGCTCAGCAAAATTCTGGAGAAGCGGAAACACACGCAACTGGTGGAAAAGCTGGACGAGAGCTCCGTGTAGGGGCCGGGGAGGGGGGTCCTGCCAGTGGGACCCTCCTCCCCTCCAGCCCCTCCTCCCACCCCTTGCCAGCAGTGTTACAAGACTCAGGCAAAACTACCTCCTGGATGGCAGAGCTGGGCCGGGCCCAGGCATGGCCATTCTTTTGGCTTTTCACTCACTTTTGAGACTTGCTGTACAGACAAAAAAGGAAAAAGTATCTATTTAAATTTGGAGCTCTATTTATGTATAAAATCTCACTGACGGTGGCCACAAGCTGGAGATAGGAGCTGGCACCTGGCTGAAGGTGGACACCATGGGGAGGGAGAGTTTCTGTCTGTCCAGGTGTGAAATGCTGTTGTGGACGTATGGATTTGGCCAGCCCTGCTGGGCATCCCTCAGCACACAGGAGCTGAACAGCTGCWGAGAGGTGGGTGAAGAGCAGGGAGTGGGGCTGAGAGCTGACACACTGAGCCTGTGTCTCTCACAGGGTGCAGGATCCCTTCCTGGTCCAGCGCTGGCTGGGTTTCCTCAGCTGCCTGCTCTCAGGCAGGAGAGGGGCCCTGGACACATCTCACATTGTGAGGGGTGGCCTCGGTGGCTTCCAGCCCCTGCCCACTCTCCCACATGTGCTTCTGCAGGGTTTCCTCTCTGGGAGAGGATGGTCTGGCGAGGGACAAGAGATAGGGCAAGGAGCTGATATCCTGAATACCCTGGAGCAGCTGGTGAAGGGGCATGTGCACACTGTGAAGAGGCCACAGGTGAAATACAGAGCTGGGTGCCCTGGGGAGGTGGCACTCCCAGGGGCCTCCGACCCTGACAGGGCTCTGCCCCTTTTCCCCAGGGCGCTGGATGCAGCAGCAGGCAGCAAGATGCACTGGCAGCAGGACTGGCAGCCAYCCTGTGCCCTGCAATGACAAGGGACCAGCGCAGCATCCACATGCTCCTGACGTCTGCAGTGCCCCTGTGGCCCCAAGCACGTGTTTCTGCCCTTCTGTGTGGTGCCTTTGGAGAACTGGGGCTCAGGCACAGCCCTCCCACCTAYGGGATAACGGTGGGCAGGGAAATGTCCTCACACAGTGAGGAAGAAGAATCTTGGACAGGGGACTGCCTCCCTCTGGAGCCTTCTCTTCATGGCACTTTCTAGGAGCAGCCACGGTCCCTAAATCCTCCCACCTGTTTTCTGCTTCTGCCACCTCCTGGGGGAACCTGAGAAATGGGGATGACAAAAGCATCTCATTCTCCAGGGACAGTGTGGTGACACTGGAGAAGCTGGGGAGGGACAGACTTGTGGGGATGCCCGTCCTCCCCCATGTTCCTTGCTTGCACCTCCATCATCAGGACATTGCCAAGGGCTCAGCACTGCAGGAGAGACACGAGAGGGAAACCCTGGGGTCCCTCATRAGCTACAGCCCAGGCCTCCTGTTCCAGGAGAATGAGGTTTGGCAAGAAGAAGCAAAATATGCACACTCTCTCACCCTGCCCCAGTCCTTGTTTTTGCTGCAAGAAGGGGGCGTGAGCCACCCCGAAGGACCACCCCAACCCCCAAGGAGGAGCATCACTCTGTGTCTGGCACTCCTCATGCACAGCTCCACTTTCCCCCCAGCAATAAACACGGCTCTGTCTGGACATGGTGTGGCAGTGTCCCTCTGCACGCAGGAGAGAGGGATGCAAAGATATGGGGGTGGAAGAGGCTTTATTGGGGCTGCAGGCGTGGGCCCTGGACAGTGAGGATGGAGGGTTTGTTGGTGAGGGGGTGCCACTGGCCCTGGATACTGGGGTTGTCAGTGTGGAAGGGCTTGCGGATGCGGATGATGTCCAGGCCGGACTGGTTGGCCATCTTGGTGGCCAGCTGCACGATCTCCTCACTCGTCTTGCTGGCAATGAGCTCCTCCCGCACCGTGCCGTTCACTGCAGCGGAGCSAGGGGGTCAGGCCGGGATCGCGCCACTCGGCAGCCCCGCTGATCCCCCATCCCACAGCCGCTGCCCCAGCACCGTCTGCACGGGGCAGAGGTAGTGCCGAGCCGGGACACGGCAGGGTCACCCCCATCCCCATCCCCTCCCCAAGCCCCCCAACACTCACAGTACTCGGCCCGCAGCACCGGGGCCGGGCCCGGGCCCGAGTGGGGGCTCACGTAGAGAACGACATCGGGGTGCTGCCGGGCGAAGTCYTGCGCCGCCTCCTCCACGAACTGCCTGAGGGACAGAGGGGACCGTCAGCCCCAGCCGAGCCAGAGACAGGGACAGGGGAGGACGGCCACAGGTYCCACACCAGGTCACCCCCAGCCCGTGCAGGCTCACGGGTGCAATCGCAGAGCAGAATTTGGGGTGATGCCCCCGGTGCCGCCTTCCAGCTCCTGCCCCGTCTCGCAGGAGGTTAGGGGTCCCACCCCGCCGCTCCCCTGTGCTCAAGGGCAAGCAGCACCGTCTCCTCCCCACGCTGACAGGGCAAGGGTAAGACCCATCCCGCCAGGTAAGGGGTCAGCAGGCTCTCCCCGCCCCATCCCCGGCAGTCTCCGGCGGTACCTGGCGCCGCGGGCGTCGGCCGCGGTGGGGCTGAAGAGGAGCTGCAGGCGCTGGAGCTGGCGCACGTACCGGCCCACGCCGTTGTGCAGCACAGCGGTCAGGAAGCGGCTGGGCGACCCGCGGCCCGTCATGGCTCCGCGCTCACCCGGAGCCGGAACCGGCGGGAGGGGCGGGACGAGGAACCCCCGACCCCGCCGGGAAGTGACGCGCGGGAGCGGGAGCGGGCTATGGCGGTGTCCGTGCGGACCCACGTGGGGGCTGCGGTCTGAGCGGCTCTGCGGAGCCGGGGGCCGCGGGGCAGCCGCCCATGCGGAGCGGCGGCGGCKCGGGCGGGTGCCGGGGCGGTCAGGATGGCGCTGGTGCCCCTGCGGCCCGGCAGAGCCGCCAGCAGCCTCCTGCCGCTGCTGTGTGGGGGGGCCAGGGGCAAGGGAGCCTCGCTGGGCGCCGGGACGTCGGGCCGCCTCGGCCAGCGGCGCTACAAGAAGGACGTGCTGCCCGCCCCCGACGGACCCGTGCCCTCCGTCTCCATCACCGAGATCCGGCAGTACCTGCGGGCGCAGGATATTCCCTTCCACGATGGGTATAGCTGCCTGCACACCCCCAGCCTCTTCACTGGCGACCGCGGGGACCAGCCGCTTTCCACCAATGCCCCGTACACGCTTTTCATTGACAAGACCACGGGCAGCTTCCTGTGCACAGCCACACTGGCCGAGGGCACCTGGCAGGATTTCCAGGCTAACGTGGAGCTGCGGCACCGTGGCGTTACCCCCGTTCCCCCTGCCAGCTCGGAGGAGACGGAGGAGGAGATGCGACAGGCTCGCGAGGATGCCCGCTGCATCTGGGAACGGGCTCTGCCGCTCGGGGAGCTGCTGGACGAGAAGGAGATCAGAGAGACCAAGGCWTTGTTCGGTATCTCCTTGGTGACAGATGCCACCCTGAAACGCTTCGGGGTGCGTTATCTGAGGACTGCCAGGTCTCTCGTCTTCCCCTGGTTCAGCCCTCAAGACGCAACCTTGAAGGGCCTGAAGCTCGTGAGGGTGGAGAAAAGAGGGGGCACCATAACTTATGTGGAAGAGACTTTACCCCGCTTCGATTCCTATCGCAATCTTTTTGGGCTGCCCCTGATTGGCCGCCGGCACTCAGAGCTGGTCTTAACTGGATGGGAGCTGGATGCCATGGCATTACACCAAGCTGCAGGAGTGGCCAGCCTGGCCCTGCCACGAGGGGCCAGCTGCCTGCCTCCTACCCTCCTCCCCTACCTGGAACAGTTCAAGCGCATCACGCTGTGGCTCGGTGAGGACTTGCGCTCCTGGGAAGCTGCCAAGCTCTTTGCCCGCAAGCTGAGCCTCAAGCGCTGCTCTCTGGTGCGCCCCGGCAACCTGCAGCCCCGGCCCTTGGAGGCTCTGAACCAGGGCTTGAACGTCACCAAGATCCTGCGTTCTGCCYTGCTTGCCAGCCACAAATCCATCGTCTCCTTCCGGCAGCTGCGCGAGGAGGTGTTCGGGGAGCTGGTTAATACTGAGCAGGTGTCTGGTGTTAAATGGGCGCGTTTCCCCGAGCTCAACAAGCTCCTCAAAGGGCACCGCAAAGGAGAGCTCACTGTCTTCACAGGTAACGGGACTGGTGGACAGGAGGAGCAGAGGGGTCTTTGGTGGCTTTATCCTCCTGGGGATGGTGCTTCACTAGACTTGCAGATCTCTTTCTGCTCATGACTTTAGTTGAGCCTGTCTTGCGGGTGTGGGAGAGGCTGGGGTGCATTCCTCAGTGCGGTGGGACCTGCATGCCCATGCAGTGATGGACTCCCTGCCTGRGGCAGTGTAGGAAGTCCTCGGCTGTCCCTTACCCCTGCTCCTACCTGCCACCTCCTATCTAAGCCATCCCTGTGCTCATTTCACTGTCTGCCCAGCTCTTCACAGGGATCTGTGGGGACCCATAGGGTGTGGGAGGCCATGCCCACGTACCCAGGCATGCAGTGTGGCACAAGAAATTTATTTATGGAGTRAGTGCTGCAGATGGGCTTCTGTTATTCTGCTCGCTGGTGCTTCTACCTCTAAACAAATCCYCAGCATGTTCAGGATGGGTCAGATCATCTGCCCCAGCTAATTCYTTCTGTTGTTGTCCTTGTATCAGGCCCAACGGGCAGTGGGAAGACCACGTTTATCAGCGAGTATGCATTGGACCTGTGCATGCAGGGAGTGTGCACGCTGTGGGGCAGCTTTGAGATCAACAACGTCCGYCTGGCCAAAATCATGCTCACGCAGTTTGCCGGCCGGCGCCTGGAGGACCATCTAGAGCTGTACGATGAGTGGGCCGATCGCTTCGAGGACCTTCCGCTTTACTTCATGACCTTCCATGGCCAGCAGAACATCAAGTATGGTCCTGCACCTCCATTCCCAGTGGCATTTACCCCTCACGGCATGTGCTGCAGGGCTCTGGGGAGCTGGGGCTCTTCCCCYGCTGTGAGTCACAGATTTGGGGCTGGCAGGAGGCACATTGGGACTGTTCAAGTCCCGGGGTTGGTGTGTGGGGGCTGTGTGGCTGTCCACCTGTGTTTCTCCTGTCATGGGGACTCTCTCTCACAGCCTCTCTCTGGGGTGGGGGTGAAGGAGGGAACTTGACCCTGTGCTGGGTGGCTGCTCTGAAGCCAGCCTGTGCCYATGGCAGGACATGTCGCCCCCACACCCAGCTTACCTGCAGTGCTGTTGTATGCTGAAGAGGGARGGCCAGCATCTCCAGCTTTTATTCATCAGGCACTGTGGCACCTGCATGCATCCCCATGWGCCCTGAGGATCCCTTGGGCTGGGGGCATTGCAGGGCAGTGGGCAGGGACTGTGTGGGCAGCAGCTGGGTCCTCCTGATCCCAGCTATCTTTACTTGTGGGGATGGGGCTGCACCTGTTATAAACTGGGGGAGATGCAGAGGTGGGATGTGCCCAGGTCCCAGCAGGACCCATCCTAGCACCTTCCAGCTCTTTTTCTGTGCCCCTTTGTTTGGCTCAGCATTCCCCTCCCTACCTCCACTAATCCCTGGAGCTGATCTTGGTCTCCCCTGCTCAGGACAGTGATTGACACCATGCAGCATGCAGTCTACATGTACGACATCACCCACGTGGTCGTCGACAATCTCCARTTCATGATGGGACACGAGCACCTCTCTGCGGACAGGTAGCCCTTCTCCAGTGTGACCCTTCCTTCCTCTGCCACYCTCACTGCTGGAGCTGTCCTTGTCAGGTGTCATGGCAGGGGCTTGAGACCCACACAGGGTGTCCCCTCTACTCCTGTCTGGCCACCCTGTCTAATTAAAGGGCATCCACTGCCCTGGGGAGGAAGAGGTGGGAAGGGGTGAGCAGGTTACCAGCCATCCCTGCTGTGCCACATCCCTCTTCCCTAATGGGCTTGGTTGCCCCACGGAGAGCAAGCCCACATTCCTGGGTGCTTCCTGCTGTGGGGATCAGCACCTCACTGCCCCCTGCCACCAAGCAGTGCCAGCCCCTGATCCCACTCCTGTTGCRTGGCAGGCTCGCTGCCCAGGACTACATCGTCGGTGCCTTCCGCAAGTTTGCCACGGACAACACGTGCCACATCACCCTGATCATCCATCCTCGCAAGGAGGATGATGAGAAGGAATTGCAGACAGCCTCCATCTTTGGCTCTGCCAAGGTGAGCAGGGCCAGGGTGGCCCTTCCTGTCCCTTGGGKACAGTGTAGTCCCAGGAAGGGGCTAGGATATGTTGGGTCGTCATCGCCAGCTCCCATCAGCACCCTGGATCATCACTGGGGACTTGGAAGGTGTGGAATGTCCCCCAGATGCAGGCAGAGAGCAAACTCATTGTCAGCTAAAGTTCTACTGGGGCTTTAGGTGCAGTTAATTAATACTCACTGACGGTGAGTGGAATGTAGCAGGAAATAATTAAAGAGGGAGGCAGGGAGGGTGCGGGGATGGGCTGTACTGAGTACTCCAGTCTCTTCCATGATGCTGACCAACCTGGCCGGGGTGGGTGGGCGGGCAGGAGGGGCTCTCTGCACAGCCTTCCTGTGATCCCGTTTCCCTGGCGTGTGCTGTGGCACAGGGTGTGCCTGGTGGGTCACTGGGATGTTCCAGGG